AGATATAGGTTGTTGTATCTAAATCCCTTGAATATAACTTGATCATCATCTTTCTTAGATACAACCACTTCCTTCTCGGTAAACAAGCATTGAAAGCCAAGATCATACAATTGCCCAACGGATAGCAAGTTGAAACTCAAAGAAGCAACATATAGCATATTTGAGATTGAATGATCATTTAATATTGCCACTTTGCCCAATCCTTTAACTTTGCCCTTTGAATTATCACCAAATGTTATCCTTTCTTGGCCATCAACTTCTTCATCTAGTGAAGTGAACATACGAGGATCACCGGTCATATGTTGAGTGCAACCACTATCAATTACCCAATGACTTCCACCCATCTTGTAGTTCACCTACACACAAGAGATCAAGCTTGTTTAGGGACCCAAACTTGTTGAGGGCCCTTGACTTTCTCAACAAGTGACTTTGCAACCCAAATTTTCTTAGGCCTATTCTTGTTGGGAGGTCCTAAGAACATGACTTTCATTTTACCACTAGAGTCCTTTCTAAGCATGTAATGAGCATTGAAAGCAAAAGGTCAAGCATGCTTGGGCAAGGGTTGTGGTGGTGGAGTTTGACACTCATGGGCAAAGTAACCTTCTTGTCCATACTCAAAACACCTCTTTGGCTTTGGCTTTAACTTATGTTGTTGTTGGTGTTGAGCTTGAACCTTCTTCTCTTGATGTGCCATATACCCAATTCTACTTCTATCCATCTTCATGACGGTGTTCATGAGTAGCTCACTTTAAAGATGTTGACCTCTTGTAAACTTGCTCAAGCCAGTCTTGAGATGTTCTTTTTCTCACTTGAGCTTCTTGTTCTCTTCTTTGAGTTCATCATGATTTTTCTCTTTCTTTAGTCTCTTGTTCTCTTCTTTGAGCTTCTCATTCTCAAGAGCTAGATCACTATCATAGTCAAGGTTCTCTATCACAATAGTGTTGGTGGTTGATAGCTTTTCAAGATCTTTCTTGAGCTTCTCATTCTCATTCTTGATCTTGACATACTCATCATAGTTGTCGGACTCAACCACTTGCTTGCCTTTGCTACTAGAACCTTGCTCAATGCTCTCAATAATCAAATCATCACATGATGTAGCTATATCAATCTTAACAACATGGTTAGTAGCATCATGTGGCTCATTGGATAATAGATCATTAGAGACAACAAGATTATCATGATGGATCTTGAGATTTATATATTCTTCTTTTAGCATATTGTAGCTAGTGATGAGCTCATTATGTATCCCCTCAAGTTTATCATGTTTTTCTTTAAGCTCTTTCTTAGAAGATTTGAGCTCCTTGAGTTTGGATGACATAACTTCATTTGCTTCTCTAAGCTCAACACTAGCCTTTTCTACTATATCACTTTTAGCTAAAAGTGAGTCATTCTTAAGTTCTAGCTTTTCATTTTTAGCTCTTGTCTTTCTAATGATCTTAGTATATTGGTTAAGCAACTTGATAAGATCATCATAGGAAGGTGATTCAAATTCATCATCACTATCACTATCATCATTGCTACCATGTTCATCACCACTACTCTCATCATCACTTTGTACCTTTCGTTCACCCTTGGCCATAAGGCATAGGTGTGTAGAGGATGATGGCGGTGGTGTCGGTGAAGATAGTGAAGAGTCAATCATAATAGCGGCCACCTTCTCGTTCTCACTATCATCATCGGATGAGCAACTTGATGAATCAATATCCGTGAGCCAATCACCGACGATGTATGCCTTGCAATTTTTCTTCTTCTTGTGGAAATCCTTCTTCTTGCCATCATTCTTCTTGTATGGCTTGTTTTTCTTCTTCTCATCATCATCTTCATTGCTTGAGTCATCTTTCTTGCCCTTGTACTTCTTGTATTTATCTTTCTTTGGCTTGGGGCATTGATGTGCGAGATGACCAAGTTCTCCACGATTATAGCAATCCATCTCCAAGATTGGTTTCCTTCTATTGCTAGTGAAGAACTTCTTTTTGTCGTCAAACTTGACACCGTTCTTGTTGAGCTTCTTAAGCATCTTGGCGGTTCTTCTCACCATGAGAGCAAGACTTGCATCATCAATTTCATCATCACTTGAGCTCTCATATTCAATTCTTGCTTTGCCCTTCTCTTGGCTAGCCTTGAATGACAAGTCTTTCTTCTTGGTGGAAGAAGAGCCATCTTGTGGTGTGATGTGCACATACATCTTATGTGCATTGATCTTTCCCAATATTTGAGTTAGGGTAGCGGTGGAAAGATCACCTTGATGAAGCACAGTCACAATGTGCCTATATTTGTCAATAGGGAGGACACTCAAGATCTTTCTTACAACATTGGATGGTTGTATTTGTGTAAGTCCAAGCTCAATGGCTTCCTCTACAAGAACATTTAAGCATGAGTATGTCTCATTAGCACTTTCTTTAGGAAGCATCTCAAAAGAATTAAGCTTTTTCATGACAAGATGATAGCGTTCCTCACGCTCACTCTTTGTTCCCTCATGAAGTGCACAAATGTCCAACCACAGTGCATGGGCGTCCTTGTGGTTCTGCACACGATTAAACACATCTTTGCAAAGGCCTCTAAAGACGGTGTTTCTAGCCTTTGCATTCCATTTCTCATAATTGACTTCATTGCCTTGAAGGTGTGTGGGATCCTTAGGTTTTGGAAAACCTTGAGAGGCGGCTCTAAGAATTCCAACATCTAGAGCTTCTAAGTAAGCCTCCATGCGGATTTTCCAATAAGGAAAATCATCTCCCTCAAAGATAGGAGGAGGTCTATCCCCGTGGGACATCTTTCTCTAGGCGGTTAAACCTAAATTCGTGAGCACGAGGCTCTGATACCAATTGAAAGGATCAAAATATCTAAGAGGGGGGGGGTGAATTGGGCTAATTCTAAAATTCTTTGCAATAATTAAACCCTACACTTAGCCCACTTCACCCCTTGTGCCTAGAATGTGATTCTATTGATCTACCGCACAAAAGTTTTTCACCCTAAGTTATAATCCTACTCTAGCATGGCAATTCTAAGAATGTAAAGACAAGAAATGAATTGCTCAAATGTAAATGCTTAAAGTAAAGAGAGGAGAAGGAACGCGGCGATGTTTTGCCAAGGTATCGGAGAGTCGCCACTCCCCACTAGTCCTCGTTGGAGCACCCGCGCAAGGGTGTAGCTCCCCCTTGACCCGCGCAAGGATCAAGTGCTCTCTACGGGCTGATTCTTCGACACTCCGTCGTGGTGAATCACCCACAACCGCTCATAACTTGAGTTGGGTCATCCACAAGCTCCGCCGGATGATCACCAAACTCCCGATCACCACCAAGCCATCTAAGTGATGGCGATCACCAAGAGTAACAAGCACGAACTCTCACTTGACCACAACAAGCCCAATGAGAAGAGTGAATGCACACTTGCTACTCTCCTTGCACTAATGAGGCTTTAATCTTGGATTCTCAAATTTTAATCACCTCACTAGGCTCTTGCTCTCCTTTGCACTCTCAAGGGTGTTTCACAGCTGAACAAATGGGCAAAAGACCTCCCTTGGATGAATAGAGGAAGTATTTATACCCACTCATTCAAAACGAACCATTAGGAGGTTGAGTCAGCACTCTGCGGGGTGACCGGACGCTCCGGTTAGTTATCCCCGCCACAGAGCCGTTAAGTTGTGACCGAACTCTGACCTGCGTCCGGTTAGCACTGACCGGGCGCGTCCGGTCATGAAAACTACTCTCTGGAACCTTACTGACGTTGACCGGACACTAGCACCTAGAGTCTGGTCACTTCACTGTTCAGCGTCCGGTCAGTAACCGAATCCTGACTAGTGTCCAGTTAGCACTGACCGGATGCGTCCGATTAGGAAACTCCCTCTCTAGAACCTCTCTAAAGTTGATCGGACTCTGGCACCCAGCGTCCGGTCACTTTTCACTCAGCGTCCGGTCGCAACCAGATGGCTCCAATTGATCAAATGAACTGACCGGACTCACCCTTCAGCGTCCGGTCACAACTAGACCAGCGTCCGGTCAGTCATTTGACCCTCCATTCATTTCCAACTCGAAATTATATGTGAATGAAGTTTTCTCCAATTGATCTTAGGGCTACTCCTGAGCTACCTAGTGCTAGATTTGACAAGTGTGCACCACACCTAACCCACTAGACTCACCTAGGTCAAGCTACTAGTCCATACCCCCCTTAATAGTACGGTCAAAGAAAAAACGAAGTCCTAAACTACTCTAAGTGTCTCTTCAACACCAAACGACACTTAGAACTAGTCCATCCTTAACCTTGTCGTCCATTCTTTGAAAACCAAAACGATTTCCATCATAGGGGTATGATAACCATGATTGCCCAATCAATTACCATTACCATGACCTAACTTAATTGCCACTACAAAACACACGTTAGTCATAGTAATCTCGTATTGTCATTAATCACCAAAACCCAACTAGGGGCCTAGATGCTTTCAATGTACTTCAAGTCGACCTCGCCATCGTCGTCGAGTACCTCGCCGCTGTCCTCACCGAGGTTCCTGGCCTCTCCACCTCGATCTCGATCTAATCTCAAATATGTGCTCCAGTACCTCGCCGCCGTCCTCACCGAGGTTCCTGACCCCTCCTCCTCGATCTCGATCTCATCTCAAATATGCGCTTATTTTGCTCTTTATATTCTACACGCCGCCTTGATCCATCTTCCTCCTCTCAAATATGCTAGCTGAACCTCAATTCGTCTTGCTCCAAGAGCAAGACCATATGTGTGTGTATGACGATGTGCTAACTGCTAGGTATCTTCATCTGCTGCTCCTGAGTTGTGCCTCTGATTCCACTAACCAGATACTGATTGAGTGCTCAAGAGATGCCTCATGTCAGCATGCCGAATAAAGTGTATAAAACCACTTCAGAGTATATACACTATTATTGACGAAGACTATGTGGCAATGGCATATGCTATGTTTCGATACACCGGTTATCCATCATTTTACTTGCTTATTACACTTATGCATTCATTTCCTTTCTATAAATACAGACAAGATGCAGCTGTTGCTTTATGGGATGATCAAGCAGAGGCCTTTTCAGACAGGGTGGTACATGGATATGGCAACCAAGTATCCTATCAACTTCCTCTTTGTTGCCACAACATCTCGGTTGTTTCAAGGTATTCAGTTATACTCATGCCAGTGCTACCCTGGATCTATTTATTTCACTGTATAATCTACATGACCTCATATTGTTTGCCAGACTCATTAGCTTCGTTTCTAAATAATCAAGGGTTTACAGATCATACACTTGATGCAGCTATTGTATTAACGAATATGTATGTACTAATTTATATTTTACTATAGGCACTTAATGCTAATTTTTAAAAACTCCATGATCACAACTATGATCTAGACAGTTCCGGAGGCTACCTGGAGCCAACAAGAATTGCAGTTAATGAACTTGCCAAAAGTTCAGAGTCCACATACTATCCGCCCATTTTTACATGACTTCCCTCCTTTGTTATCGCTTTACTTTCCCATTTCTCTATATGCCTTGTGATGTTTCATCTTATCACTGGAAGAACAAAATGTTCTATAAAATGCATGGTCCTATTTAGTGGTTATTATTTTTTTGAAACAGTTCTGAAAACACTGTTTTGAATTTTTTTAATTGGTGATATGCACTGACTACGCCTAAAAAATCACTTTTTCTACAGTTTCAGTGCTCTCCAGCACCTAGGCTGCTACTTTTTTTTTAACAATTTCATTATTTTCATTTTGCTTATAACAACTAGATGTAGAACTGCCCTTTAATCGGTGTGCTGTGTTTTTCATGTTACATTTCATTCGGCAAACAACTACACAGATGTTTCTGAGGAGAGACTTGGGCCGTAGCTCATTCAGAAGTTGAAAAAGGAATGTGTTAATCCCAAGCAGTGGAGACTTCGAAATTTTCAATGCATGTTATGCCCACAGGTATGGAGCATCTGTTCTTTACAACCTTGTTCTGCTGCTTCTAGTTTAGTGTCTTTTTCATGAATTATATCTAGCTTTACAACCAAGCAGTCTAATTGATTTAAGACATGAATGATAAGAAATTGCTCCCAAGAAGTGACGCATCTCTAAATCATCCATTCAAATTGACTTCATTCAAGATAACATTGCAACTCACACGCAATACTGCTATATCATTTCTTTTTAGTGATCCATTGCATTTTGGATCTTTGAGCTATCTAGCGATAAATAATGAACTATAACTTACACCGGCCCTCATGGTAGGTTGTTTGCTGTTGCTTCTCACATTGGACAAGACTAGGAGTTCATTGGGGAGCCTGCTTCGACACATCGTGAAGACATTCGGCCAGGAGAGGATAGAGATTTAGATTTTGTTTGTTTCGTAAGCTTTTCTGAAATAGATCTACATGTCCTCTGCTTGGTGGGGTTGCAGGTGAGGACTGGACAGCGCACGAGAACATTGACATGACCATCAAGGCTGCTGACAGCATCCTCTCCCAATTCGACCTTGCCCGTCGTGTGCGTTCGCGGTTCCTCTATCAATTAAGATGCTAGATGTTTAGCTGAAAATCAGAGTGAATCGGATAAAATTTTCGTGTGGCATGGTGTGGATCTGAAGGCGTTTGAATGAATGTGCAAAAAGGTCAGGTGCTTGCGATGATTTATTGCTGAATTATCAAATATTTTGGTAGATTTAAAGGATGGAGTTAATTGATACAAAAATGAGTATTCTCAGATTGAAGGATAGAACTCCTCTTTAAGGCTTATATTTTGTTTAGGTGAATCACCATTTATGATATTAGATTGAGTTACCATAATTATAGCGTTTCTTTTGAATGGGATGCAGGTTTGTAAAAAAATCATCTCTGAAAGTGTTAAATTGATGGCTAGCTGAACTCATTGCATTGAGAATATAGTAATCTTGCAAGTTGTTGTTGTTAGCTTTTGGTCAGGCTCAAGTTCAAATGTTACGATTTTGCACCTGCACTTAGCTTGTGTGTGTTTTTTTGGCTTCGTGCTTTAGGCTTTGTTGTATGGCTAAGTGACAAATTAAAATAATATCTCTCTCCCTCTCCCTCCCTACCTCCCTCCCTTTTCTCCCCTCCTCTCTCTCTCTCCAAGAACCTTATATCTCGTTCTATGATTTAATACCCAGATATGCATTGCCTTTTGCTTGTTTGATTTGCATTATTATGAAATATCCTGTAGCGTTAGCACGGAAAGGTCTATACAGTAGAATTTGAGAGCTTGTGACGCCGCGCTCTCCGTGACTGTGTTAATTTCACGAACTTTGGTTTTTAAATTAAATGTCACTTTAACGTCGGTATTTAATTTCACAGTATTGTTATCTTATCGTGCAATCCATGTGTTTTTAGTACAAAAGTTTAGCTGTTCCGTAGCAACACACGGGTACGCTACCTAGTCATTTAAATGTATGAGATTGGAGCATACTTCCTCTGTCCCATAATGCTTGTCGTCGTATGAGTTGAGGGAGATTACCAAGAAAGCCAACAAATAACCTGGTTGCCCCTATTTTCTCTGTCAAAAGGCTGCTATGAATGACAGTGAATGGACATGTAGAGAGAGGGTGCCGAGCAGATAGAGAGTGAGCGGGTGCCGAGCACATGGGCCAAAGGCTGCTGCGCCTGACAGGCTGGTGCCGAGCACATGGGCCAAAGGCTGCTGCGCCTGACAAGCTAGGCTGCTGCGCATGCACTGATGGACATCTATTTTGATACTTCTTTTGAACACTTAGACGTCCAGTATTCTGGGACGGAGGGAGTACTTTGTCTATATTATATATAGGCAGTGGTTGGAACTACATTCTGGTAGCCTTGAATCTTAAAAGCCTGAGATGCAACAGCCTACTGCAGAACTGCTTATGCCTACAGTGTACCCAATGAAGGTACATGTTTTGGTTTGCTAGTTGCTACAAATGTTAATTAAGAGAAAAACACACACACACGTCACCGTAGTATGTAGACTAAAATTGACGAAATAGGAAGGCTGCATTGAAGTTTAAGACTGCAATTTGTTCACTGCGCTGTAGATCCAATTATAAAAGTACTATACGAACATATGACATATGTAGGTACTATATATTATGAATTATTATCCAACAAATTTCCCTGCACTCAAGTAAGTAGAGAAATGCTGTCAGACAATTATATTGATCAGAGGAAGGTAGCTTTTGAAATTAAATTGAGTCTTTCTAACAAGATGCATGTTTGGATTTTTGTTACTAAACTTATTGTTTTTTTTTTGAACCTAGTGAGCCTGTTCACTGGTTGGTTTCTGGACTGATAAGTCCGGCTGGTGCTGGTTTGTTGTGAAAGAAAAATACTGTTGGCTGGCTGATAAGGTCTGCCTGAAACCAACCAGCGAACATGCTGATTACTCATGGGCTGACAGCTCGTCAGCAACAATTACATTAATGTGATGAGGGAGAGAGCTTAAGATTTGCCCAAACCCTTCAACACACTCGTACCCACTAGCGGCAATTGCATGGGCCACCCTATTACACTCTCTGGATACAGAGACACAACAGAAACGACTGAAATTAACAAGCACGAAGAACTTGAGCTCAGCGATCAGCCCACCAACAGCATTATCATCAAAGTCATCTGAATAGAAAGCCTGCTTGACTTGACTAGCATCTGTTTCTTGCACGATCTCAGTGATTCCCAGCCTGATAGCTTCCTGAACTCCATGCAAACATACTGAATAATCATCGTCATTGCCGTTCTTTGTTTATGTTCAATTTTTATAGAAAATTAATATTATTATTTCTTCTTTGAAACAAATAAAGGAAAATATGAGTGTAGGCGGCATTAAACTCCGGCTGGATATCTTCTCACCATATAAGGATAACCAAAGAAACTAGCTAGCTAGCTAGGCTCAGTTGGTGAACCGCACGTAATGGATAGTCCACAGTTGTTCAAATAAATAAAACGATTTCTCCAATTAGACAAGTCAAGTACATTTCAGCAAATAATAAAGAAAATTAAAGAGAGAAAAAAAAAAGAATATGTGCAGTTGGTTGTACCTGGACGCTTGCAGCAACGCTATCTCCAGTAGGGCCTCGGCACAGTAGGCAGCCATCACCTCATGGCTCACGGAGATAGAAGAAGATAGATAGATAGCCCAGACCGGACGCAATGTAATCAAAGGTGAATAATGCTACGAATTAGGCCTAAAACAATAGTGCACAGTTGCGTAGCCGTTGTTGACATTGCGACGCGGATGTGTAGCCGGCCCCGTCCCTGAAATCATTCTCCCCGGTGACACTGACGCTGACACCACACGCTAGCTGACGCAACCGCGGCGACCTGCATCTGCTCATGCATCTGATCTGATCCGATCCGATCTGCCCCCCGGCCGTGCGTGGGAACACAAGAAAGCATATGATCCCTATTGTTTTGTTTCTCGACTGAGCACACAAGAGCGAGGTTAATAATTCGGCAATATATCATGTGTAAACCAATCAATTTGTGCAAATTTAAAAACTATCAATCAGGGTGAGAGGGCTTAAGCGAAAAAAAGGCCGGCAGGTGGGGGTTTAAGCGCAAAAAAATCACATCTCTCACCCCATCCATTGGATCAGCATCTAGTAATCCTGATTTGTAGTTTCCAAGTTTGCACAGGTTAGTTGATTTGCATCTGATACGTTGCCTAATAATATAGCCGGTAGGTCGGCTGTAAGGATCTTTTCAGCTTTCTCTCAGACCATTCATATAGCAGTTAACTCTTCACTATTAATACATGGCACACTTATATCTCTCACAATAGTTTTTGATTCTTGTGTCTAAACCAACTGTAAGCTTACAGTCATCCCTTCTCTTTTATCCACCTCAGTATTCAGCCGGCTTACAATCTGCTATTATACTTGCTCTAATACTAGCTAGCTACTCGTAGCTAATTGCAGTGTTTCGTCGCCCAAGCATTACCATATATACCACCAATCAATCTATACGATACTACTGGCCTGCTACAAGTGTAGACGGCGGAAATTGGTGGCAAGCTAGTGCGATGGACAAGATGACGATTTCCTTTTTGGCCCTCTTCTCTCTGTTTGGATCCTCTTGTCCCTTTTTGTTCTCTTGTGTTCACATAATTACCCGGGCCCAGACAGACGGCCACCAGGGGCATGCATGCAGTGATGCAGGAGCTAGCGAGGCGAGCAGGAGGAGGGGGATGCTTGCACGCAACAGCACAGCACCGCACAGAGCACACAAATAAAAAGCTAGCGCATCAATCAATATAATTGGTGGGCACTGCCGCTGCTAATCTAAACCGAATCAGGCAGGCGATGTGATTGAAACCCCACCACCACTAATTAAAGGTGATTAATCTCGGCTAAGCTAGGCTGCTGGCTGCTGCTAGGGCTCTACTAGGACGTAATGACGCGACGACCCACCGAATAATATGCGCCCCCTCTGTCTCTGTGCTTTGCTTTGCTTTTCGGCCCCGCCACGGCCATCGTGCTAATTCGTCATTATGTCTGCCGATTAGCAGGATCGATCGAGCTGCTGCCAGGACGACGAAGGCTCCCATGATTCCATTCCATAGCGCTCACTAGACCATCAAAAGCCTGTGTTTAATTTTGCGCTACTTTTGTATTATTAAAAGCTAATATTTCCATGTGTCGGAATTGATTAAAAAAGCAAGATCCAACCTAGGAGGAACCAGCTGGTTTTTTATTTTCATTAAGAAGAAAAATTGGTAGCTAAATTCAGTCCAAGACAAGACTTGAACCTAGGTGATTGGGTGTATGACCACACCTCTCAACCAACCAGTTGAGCTAAATTTGCTCAGTTTCGTTCATGTGTGAAATTAAAAGCTACTGTATTTCCATATGTCGTTGTGGTTGTGCTTTTTTTTGGATCATAATAAAAATCTAGCATTCCACCAACTGCAGGATGCAGTTAACAACTAGCAGGGGAAATCCACGATGCATGGCATGGCATGGCAATCGATGCAAGAAAAGGCACAATTCGTCTTGGTAGCCTTGCAAGCTACGCACACACCGTACCACCGCACTTGCACTCTTGGTGATGAGGATGCCTTCTGCCATAGCACAAAACTTTGCCTCATGGATTGGAGGCATTGCAGATTTGCAGCTTATGATGCATTCTTTCTTTCTAGTTTGTGTTACAGATCATGCTCTAGGACAGGAGTCAGGGGAATATATAGCTTGGATGCCAATGGGCCGCTGACGGGACCGCTGCAGTTCCTGATCCTTTATCTTTATTAGCATTTAGCACCTGAATCATATGTTCTTGATGCAAAATGCAACCTGTCGATACCTTTTTCATTTCTGCAAGTTATCCCAAGCGTAATTCAGAGCTTATATACAATCTTCAGGATACATCCTGTTCCCTATAGTGTTTTAGCCCCACAAGAAAAAGCGTTTACGCAGGTCTTAAATGCTGATCATTGTCAAATGGAAAATGATCCTGTTGATGACCGCTTCAGTAAGTCACTAGCATCCCTCGACTTCATCATTTGATAGCTACGGTACATATTAGAACCAATCCAACCCCTTCAGATTCGAGAGGGATAGCCCGGATGGAGACTCCAGGTGAACCTGGAGTCACTCCTGCATCATCAGATGTGTCAGTCAGTTTCAGCAGGAGGAGAACACAACGAACTCTAGTTCATCCTCCAACTCTCCTAATCCTATTTTCCACCTAATTTG